CCTGCTTCGGCAGGGGGGTTGGATTAGATAATCCACAGAGGTCCCTTCCACCCCCTACCACTCTGTGATTCTGTGATTCCCCTGTGGAATACGAGACAAGCTCCCCTTCTAAAAACAGAGCCTTGCCAAGACTGCACAAGCCAAATCCAGGAGTCCTGCTGCATTCCATCTCCTGCTGCTGCTCTTCCCTAGTTTTCCCAGTTCAGGACACCTGCAAGCCTGCACCTATGGCTCCTACTGATGTCCAGACTGTCCCCAAATCTTTCCTTGGTGAGCTGGGTACTATCCTGTCTCCCGCATCACCCCCAGCAGCACTAGGTCCCACACCATCTCCATGGAGGACATACAGACTATGTGAATGACATTCTAATTCCTGTTCACGTCAGTGCCATGGGTTTTCCTTAGATTTCCTTCAGATATATTACTAACCCATCCTGGTCTTACTTGCAGGGAGGGCATAATGAGGCTACAAGGCTACAGCTGACTCAGAGAAAATGTAAGAGTTGCAAACACAACAGCAGCTCCCGGGAGTGTGACTGTGCTACACACGCACATCCGAGGCCAGAATCCAGCTGCGTATCTGATGCAGAGGCAGAAGCCATATTCAGGCTGCCAAGCCTTTCCAAGGCACGAACACAAACCGTTTGGAATGTGCCCCAACGAACAGCTTTGGCCTCTTCAAGAAGGACAGCAGAGATTGTCAATCCTGCAAAATGAGACACATCTTGACCCTTTTGTGAGGTAACTGCTCAGACCGAGTTTCCCCTTAGAGCCTGACCACACAGGCCTCAAACTCCTTGAAAGTGTAGGCACCAGTACAACGCCCAGTGTTTGCTCCTGTTCAAGCACAAAACAACTTTGCAGACACAGCCCTGGGCAGAATGTAAGGCACAATTTTATTTTCCCTCATTCCTCTTTCTCAGCTCGCGCCCATCACGATGCTGTTTTCTGGCAGCGAAGCTATGCAGTGATCACAGGGATCCCCGTGGTTTGTGCTCGTGCAGCAGCCAGCAGCCGTGCCCTGGGCTCGCAGGGCCTCACCTGGCTGCTCAGAGCGCCACTGTCCTGAGCAAACCCCTCTGCGAGGTGTCACTGGGTGGCCCACCCAAACACTCCGAGCTCTCCTTCACTTGTCCACAGCATGACCAGTGGGGGCAGCCAGGGTGACCTTTGTGTCCATGGCCACAGCCTTGGTACCCACCTGCAAGAGAAGAGGCAATCAAAAGTGGGCCAGAAAATCCCAGTGTGTCAGAGAGGCTTTCAGAGAGTGCTTCAGCCCCAGGACCTCTCTAAGACAGGGAGTCACATGCTGATGAGAGCACAACATACTCAAGACCAAAATTGCCAGGACTCCTTAAAGAAAGCAGAACAACAGAGTGGGACCTCCCAGTTCCAATCACTGGGGAAAGCTGAAGATTTCCCTCCTCTTGTCTGTTGAGTAATGCAAGACACAGGCCTGCACACCCCTGTGCAAGCCACTGGTGGCTATGGCCAGAGCTAGATACAGATCAAGCACAGAAAAAGGAAGATACTGGTTCTATACTAAAACATGCAAAATATGCAATGGCACATGCAAGTCAAGGACAGAGAAACTGGCTGGGATTAAACAAATAAGGGACTTCTCTCATCCTAAACTAGGAGTGAGGCTTTTCCATAGGACAGCACTGGGCACCGTGTGACACAGCCCAGAAGCTCCCAGCGTGCCAGCACCGGGACAGGAACAGCATAACCACAGTGCTGCGCAGCCTCACCACGAAGGGCTGAAAGACAGAGCTGCCCTGCCCCATCTCCTGCAGAGTTGGCTCAGGTCTCTGTTTATGGGGTGTGCTACAAAGACGCTCAGCATGTCGTTTGCTGCATTTCTCACTGCTGCAGTCCCATCCTACCAGAAGATGTGTACACACAGGTTATCATAGGCCTGGTGCGTGTGCAAGGCAGGAGCTGGGCTGGAATATCTACTCACACCTATTTACATTAGGGAGGACTGAATGCAACAAACCTTCCCGATGCCAGCAGCGTGGGGAAAGCTGAGCACTCACCTGGCATGGTCCCCCCGCAGGCACAGCGAGCAGCTTTCTGCCCTCCGCTTGAGCAGAAGGTGCAGCAGTGAAACACGCCTCGGTGTTCGCGGAATTTGTTTCTCACCATTAGAGTGAACGGAGAGCCCTGCAGAAGACAAGCAAGCAGTGGGGCTGCTGCAGTGGATACTATCAGATGTTGTGTCTGTGTTTACAAAAAACAACTGGGTGATTCTGTCAGTCACAGATCACGAAACCCAGCCTTAAACTGCTAACTGGTAGAGGCAATCCTTCAAAAGATTTGAAGAAAATACATAGAAAAAAAAGCAGGTAAAGAAGAAGCAGTGCAAGAGAAACAAGAAATGCTACCTGTACATGCTGCCCTTTCATGTAGACACAGACAGCATACAAGCCTGGCTCCTCAGGGCTGTAGGAAATATGGTAGGTCCCATCACCGTTATCACACACTGTTGGCTTGACTGCACTACGAACAGAAGGAAGTCCAAGAGGTCAGTGACTGGCAGAAAATTGCTCCACATGTGAACCACTGTTTGGCCTAGGTTTGTGGTCGGTTCCTTATCCTCAGCCTTGCTCAGCAGCTGCGGGTCTCAAATGAGCTTAACAGGATGCATGAGCAATGCTCAAGCATTGAGTAGCTTTCACACACCTGCTACTGGGAGCTGCAATAACCATACAAAGGAAATCACACAAAGCTAGCTGCACTGCAAGGATTTGTAGCAACCCTGAGCGCTGAAAGAGCAGAAGATGACAGGTAGCACACTTGCAGGTCAGATTATCCCATCAGATAAGAGCCCTCAGAAATGGGGTAAATTCACAGCTTCAGAGAGCAGTTACTTTCAGAAAAGCCCATGAATAACACAGGACATAAACAGGGCAGGTTTCAATCACTTCAAACACTGTCCCAACTGCATTGACCCAAACTCTTCTCTTCAATGCTCTGAGGAGATCTAGGTCCCTGCTGATGACCCCTCCCTTTCCAAAGTGAAGCTTGCTGGGTTTCACAAGAAACCCTGGTAGACAGGATGCTGGGGAGAAAGCATCAGCTAGTTACTCAGGGACTGATTGCTTGCTTCATAGAAAGATGAAGAGAGCTTTCTACAGACAATCATCAGGCAGCTCTGCATAGAGGAAGGTGTTCTTCCTAATCCCCACTAATTAGTCTCTTGTGCCTCACAACATAACAGTTACTGATCTTCCAGATTTGCAGGCTGTGTTCCCCACCCCCCACCATTTCACATCAATACAGCTGCCGACATCATTTCCTGCCGTGAACTGCGTGGTGATACTTCACGCTCTTCTGTAGCTGCTGTGCCTCAACCCAAAGCCAGACGGCTTTCAGCAACAGATGTAGCAACTGCATACGCACAAGAATAAGAAATTGAGTTAATGTGGCCACAGCGACCTCTACCCCACGAAGCAAAATCCACATAGTCCTCATGTGCACACGTTCCTACGTCATTTGTGCACATAAGAAAGAAAGGTACATGGGAACGAAATTCTTGAACAATGATGCTCTAGTGATAAGCACCTGTGCAGCCAGCAGTGCTTCTGTACACCATGTCAACACTTCCCTACAGCAAGGAGTTTTAGCATCCTGTCCCTTTTTTCATCAGGGCATCCCACCCACAGTGTTCCTGGAACAAGTTAAGCTGGCATCTTGCTCCAGCTACATTGTATGTACTACAAAACAGAATGTTTTTCTGAAGAACTGACCCACAACTGGTTCTGCATTTGTGCCTGGCTGCTTTCTGGAAACCAGTGCGGCCTGGAAACACAAAATATTTTTTCTGGTTGGTCATTCTCATTGTGGCAACACTTTGGACCTCAAATGCGGTCTTCCCTCCTTTTGCTAGAAAACCTCCAAACGCACTGAAGTGCTCAATACTTGCAACTACAGGAGAAAACACAATAAACTCCCGAAAGAGATTCTTTCTCCAGAATACGAACTAGGCACTTCCATCCATTGTCAGAGGCTCCTGGGCTTGGTGTCTGACTTGGGATGGTCATTCTCAGGTTGTGATGTTTTACGCTCCTTAGGTGTTAACAAAAGCAGGAGCCCTAGGTGTCTGCTGGTAGGGGTGGGAAGGAGCAACAGCTGACTGACAATGTCTAACACCCGCTGAGAGCTGAATCCTTTAAGAAATCCTGAATGACTCAAAGACTCAATACAAATCTGAGCCAACACCATCGAGCTCCACACAGCCAAATATAACCAGAAGGATGTACTGGTGGGAAGAACAATAGTGCCTTTTCCCCCACAGATTCTGACCCACACGCTTAAGTATGTCCTCCCACCTGCCAAGGCAAGGAGGGAGCCAGGGTGAGGGAGGCAGAAAGGCAAACCCAGTGACCAGGGAGTTCTCAGGTGAAATACTCACCAGTCCCTCTTGTCCCTGTGGGTGATGGTGACCCGCACAGCCTCTCCTCCTTGCCCCATCCGCTCCCCCATGGTGTCATTACAGAGCAGGGTAAAGCCAGTCAGCTGGTTCTGACGTGCACTGTGGAGGTCTGCAAGGCAGAGAAACAGGACCAGAAAGGAGTCACATCAGAACTGCCACCTCCCACTTACTTTGCAGTGTTGAAGTTGCATCAGAGCACAGCCAGGACTTTGCTGCTGGGGTGTACAGCTCCTTCCGCTCATAGGCAAAAGTAAATGTGTGACTGGGGATCAGGAGAGAGTGGACAGCTATAGGTGCTGAGAGATGTTGGGCAGCCTTACCCCAGAAGTCTGTACAGACCAGGGTGGTCTTCCTGCCTGCTCCTCTGAGCCCAGCTGGCATCTTCCCAGGATGCTTCAAGGTGCACGGTGCAACCGGGAGGGAGGAGGAACAGTGCAGAGTGGAGCCCCAGAGACCTCAGCACTTACGGTCTGGCATGGAAAGGATCGAGCAAGCCCTGGGTCTGTCTCATCTGCCCTGTGCAGGCCATTACTGACCAGAGGTGGCTGTGCTCTGTTGGCTGGCCCTGCTCCAAGTCCTTAATAAGCAAACATCCGTCAAACCATCTATGCCAGTTATTCCCATGGCAATCTCAGCAGAAGCTGCAAGGGGGACTTGCTCAGCCACAGAGGGGACCTGTCTGGGCCCATGCTGCAGGACAGCTGGGGCCACCAGGTGAGCATCACACCCTGCCACTGCAGGTGCATCCTCTAAGCTGTGGGCTTTGGCCTGCAGGCTGCTCTCCTCACAGTTCACCCCATGCTGAGGTCACTGATGCTGCGGAGGGCAGCTCCAGTATGCTGTCACATCTGGCTGGGGACAGCTCTCTGTCTCCCTGCCCAGCAGGTTCCCATAGACCTTCAGCAAGCAATGCAACCTCTGGCAGGGCTCTACCCTGCCGTACTCCTCTGCCCCTAGTCAGTGCCTGGGCAGCAGGGAGCCAACAGTGCCCCGAGCTGCACACCGTGTGGGTACAGAGAGCGCAGACGTGATTTCAGGGAGGAGCGCGCTTCCATTCAGCTGTTGTACAGCACCCCATTACCTTCCCCGAGCAGGGTACATCTGGCTGGATCAACCATTTTATTGAGAATGGCCCCAAAAACTTCAAAGCCGCAACACTGCCCTGCCCTCTCGTGGGGAGAGAACTGGATCCCGTCATCCACTCTGGGGTGGGTGTTGTAAGCAACACTGTTCAGCTTTGCCAGCCGGCTCGCCACCACCCCTTTGGTGATGAGGATCTCCAGGTCCGAGCCGCTCGTCAGCAAGCGCTCCGTGAACTCCACGCCTGTCCTCATGTCCAGCAGCAGCTGCTGCAGCTGAGCCTTCTGCAAGTGCAGAAGGTTTTCCTTCTGCACTTTCAAGTCCTCCAGCTGCTTCAGCAGCCGGTCCCGGTGCTCTTCAATTGCTTTTACATACCCACTGGCAAAGACACAGATGTCTGTGGCCACGGCTTCTGCGCGGCTGCGGACAGCGCTGCCCATGTCATCAACCTGGCCCAAGACACCCTCTAGAGTGCCCATGTGCTGCTGGGTGCTTTTCAGCAGCTCCCGCAGGGCGTCCCCATGCCTGTGGATGACATTGCCGGTGAAGTCACAAGGGTGCTGCCGGTGCCTGTCCACAACGCAGTCCCGGCACACAGGCTGGTCACACTGCTCGCAGAACAGCCTCAGCTCCTCTGTGGGGTGGGAAGGGCAGAAGAGAGGCTTCACGGCCTGGCTGCAATCCTTGCTATTCTCCAGCTCCGTCACTGCATGAGAGGCCGTCTTCTTCTGTCTCCTAGAAGGGAGCAACCACACATCATTCTACAGATGTCGGATATGAAAGGCAAACATCCAAGACCCCTTGCAAACATCCATGTGTACAGACTGAAAGTCACGGTGTGTGCCGCTCCCTCCTGTCCGCACTGAAATCCACTCTGCATGGAGGGACTTGTGGTCTCCTGAGGACAAGGCTCCACACAAAAGAGGACAGCATCTGCAAGCAGCTCATTAGAGGCTGCTCTCAGGCTCCCTGCATGCGGTCGGCACTATTTTCAGACAGAAGGATCATGTGCCCCACCATGGCCACACACAAACCGGTAAATGGGCCGCCAGGCCCCCACTGCCAGCGGCCCCTTCGTGGAGCCTGACAGAAGCGGGATAGTTGCGCTTATCCCCAGAGCCTGCTGTGACAAAGGCAGCAGGAGGGCGGTGAGCCCTGCAAAGTGAGAGCTGGCAGGAGGTGTCTTAAAGCAGAATCACTCACTGACAGTCACTTCTGGAAAGGAACGGGAGGTGCCAAGCTCCTCAGCCACCAGCCCAATAACTTTCCCCAGCTTTAAATTCACTGAGGCAAATGAGCTCTAATATCTCTTGGGGAGAAATCTAGTTCAGGCCACTGGCAGAAGACAGCCTGTGGTAAAATATTTAACATTCAAAAGTCAAACTCCATTTCCTTCTGGCCGCCAGGTTAGATCCTGCTCAGAGGAGACGAAGGATGAGACACAAAGAACATGTTATGACCCAGACATCCACCATGTCACAGGGCGGCACCACAGTGTTTCCAGTTAATGCTATTTTGGACACTGGGAGCTCGTTATTGAGCAGGACGTAAAGCCTCTTCTTGTCTCCTGCACTAATGACTTTTGGCAGCTGCGATGGGAGCTCCAAGCCATAAGCAAAGAAATACTCTGAGGACCAAGCTCCACGGAGTTGCTCTGGCAACACAAGGCAACCTCATCACAGGGCAGGACACAGCCCTTACACTGCTGCTCTCACTTCCCACTAATCTCCCTTGAGTCCAGCACATTTTCAAAGCCTTCTAGCATTATTTGCATAACACTCTTCAAATTCACACTACCCTGACTTCAACCTAGGACTTCTCTCACTTACTCCAAGAAGCACAACACTGGCACTCGGAACCTCAGAAATCTTCCCTACGCACCAGGAAATCATTTAAAAATGGATTTCCCTGGCCCTTGTTCTGCTCTGCCATCAACTACATCAGCTGCAAGACTACAGATATTAGTGGGGTGAAAATATAGTATCAGTAAATAAGGTAGGAAGTGGGTGATGAGGACAAATTTTCTACTGCTTTATACCTCCTGCAGTTCTTTCTGTCAGTGCAGCAGGCTGCTGTTCAAGGTCCCAGTTTCTCACTCTTCAGCAGCTTGCAAGGGGTATGAGGCATTAGCTAATCAGAATGGTATGCTGAGAATTACAGCCCCGAGTGGAAAGGTAACTAAGAATCTAAGCCATTCTGCCACAGGCACCCTCATTTCTTTCTGAAGAAAGAATTTGCTAATCAACTCGAAAGGAGCAGCAAACGTGGAGGGAACAGGCCTGAGCTGATTAACCCAGGCTAAGAGGCTTCCCTGCCTAGTGCTACTGGGCGTTTTTCTGACCCTGCCTGTCACCTCCTTGCTTCAGAAGGCCATTCAGAATTCCTCTCTCTTTTCTTCCATAGTGCTGCCTATCCTCTGTCCTGCTCGCAGGCCACTGCAGCCACCTCCTACTTCTGTTACTGTCACCTCTTCTTCCTGCCCTACTGACATGACTCTCTCTGAGGTACACAGCTCTCTTCTGCTGTCACGTGTTCAGTTTTCCCACGTTCCCACAGAACTAAACCCTGCAACATCAGGCATACAGCGAACCAACAGTGTTGCTGCTGTAAGCTCCCGGCCTCACAGAAATGCTGAAAATGCACATAAGGTATGCGGATGTCATGGTTTAACCTGGCAGCCGGCAACTAAGACCACTCGCTCACCCCTACCCTTCCCCCTCAGTGGGATGAGGAGGAGAAATGGACCAAAGGTAAAACTCCTGGGTTGAGATAAAGACAGTTTAATAAGACAACAAAAGAAATACTAATACTACTGATAATAATGAATATACAAACCAAAAAATACGCAATATATTTTTTTCTCACTGCCCAACGACTGATTCACAGCCAGTGCCCAAGCAGCGACTGCAGAACCCAGAACTCGTGGATTTCATGGAACTCCCGAAAAAGACCAAACTTATGGAAAAGTTTGAAGTCATGGGAAAAAAAGAATAGTTGAAACTCCCGGAAAAGATAGATATAAAGAAGAGGATTCCTGCCCCCTGGCCAGCCCCCATTTATAAACTGAGCATGACGTCTATGGTATGGAATATTTCCACTGGCCAGCTTGGGCTGTCTGCCCAGCTGTGCTCCCTCCCAGCTCTGGCACACCTGCTCATTATCTGAACATGGGAGACTAGAAAAAAGTCCTTGATTTCTTAGCAATAACTGAAAACATCAGTGTTATCAACATCCTTCTCCTAATAAATCCAAAACACAGCAGCTACTGGGAGGAAAATTAACTCCATCCCAGCCAAAAGTAAGGCAGTGGACAAAACAGTCAGCAGGCAACCACACGGGCTGATTATCAGGAGACAGCAATCACAGCAGGCGGGCTAGTGTCAGGACTTCCAGTTCACAGAATCACAGAATGGTAGGGGTTGGAAGGGACCTCTGTGGGTCATCTAGTCCAACCCTCCTGCCGAAGCAGGGGCACCTACAGCAGGCTG